GGGCTTCCCTCCCTGCAGCCCGGGAGGCAGGCGGTGGGCGTCGGGCGTCTCCCAGGCCGGGAAGGGACTCGGGGCGCGCCGCGCTCTGCAGGCAGGCTGGACCCCCCTAGAAAATAAACAAGGCTTCCAATCCACCAGTGTCCTCACATTCTCTGTCCGTTTCTACCATCTCGCAGCTCCGGTATCAAACCTGGCTACACGTCCTCGGAGAAAACGGAACGCCTTTCTCTTTTTCCAGGATAGGCGCTTTTTCGGACCGACCTGACTCAGGGCGTCTGAAGATCCAGCCAGGACGCAGTGCTCTCCCTCCGAGGGAAGATACAAGAGTTGGAAGCCCTTTGGGGCCCTCAGTAGGGTGGGACTCAAGGAGGGAGGGGTCTCTGGAGCAGAGGGATGTCAGAGCTGGTATTGGGCTCAGCACGGAAAAGCTTAAAGGCGTTTTCCACGAGTGAGTCCCTTCTTAGAGAAGAATCCATTCTGAAACCAACACCGAATGATTGCGCATCCGGCAGGTGCCAGGTGTTATGGGCTCATCGACAAATGAAACACAGCCTGCTCTCAAGAAGCTTGCTCAATCTCTGGCGGCACAGAAAATTAAAACCAAACTATATAGGTACATTGTGTTGGGTTGAATTTATTTGCAACCATCTATGCACGCGGGCCTCCAGGCATCATCTCTCACATCCATGCCTGCTTAGGTCTGAGAGTGCTAAACCCTCAAAAGATCAGTCTGTGACAGATGAAGACCTGATATGACAATAGCTCATGGGACTAACTTCTAATGCTCAGAGTTCGGGCCTGGCACAAATCCTGCAATCCTTGTGTTCTCTCTGGATCTGATGTGTCATTCATGTAAACGAGGTCTTCCAGGACAGACTGTTTGACTCCTGATGTGTCAGAAGGGAGGCAAAGCAATTCCACCCATGTTCCTCTTGGGGATGGAGTCCTGCCCCTGGATGTCAGTTCACAAGAGGGTGAGATGTACATTATCTCAGTCATTACATAACCTGCTCCTATAGAAGGCATTTCTCTCCTAGTCCTGCTGGAATAAATGACCACAACTTCAATGGTTTGGAACAACACAAATGTATTGCCTTGCAGCTCTGGAGGTCGGAGGTCTGAAGTGGGTCTCACTTGGCTAACATCACTGTATTATCAAGGCTGCCTTCCCTTGGGGAGGATTTAGGGGAGGGTGGTTCCTTGCTTCTCGAGGGGGCCCACGTTTTTGGTTTCATGGCCCCTTCCTTTCAAAGCCAGCATGACGGGGCAAATTCTTATCATGTGACATAGCTCTGCCCTCTCCCCTCTGTCGCCCTCTCCCACATTTAAGGGCCCTTGTGATGATACTGGGCCCACCTGGATAAACCCTGTTGCAAGATCAGCTGATTTTCGACATTAATTCCACCTGCATCTTTACCTCTTTGCCATGTAACACACAGATTCCTGGGGTAAGATGTGAATGAACATAGGGAGAAGGGGCATCATGTTACCTGTGACACAGAGGGACCCCTTTTTCTACCAGCATGTTTTTGTCCTCTGCCCAGCCCCAGGCTCCTGACCTTCAATGACAAGAGGTCACATGAAGGGAGGTTTCGGAATAGAGATGCCCAGGATCCTGGAAGAGCCCAGCCGAGCGTTAAAATGCCTGCAGCAGGGAGGTACTCTGCAGGGAAGAGACTGGTGGGATAAGAAATATTGCTCAATTATCTGAGTAGAGAAAAAATGATTCTGGGCCACATTAGGAAAAAAAAAAAGAAAAAAGAAAAAAAGAAAGCCAAACAGATTTTTATCCTGAGGGCTGTGGAGCTGAGAAGTGTTACAGGGCAACTTGCCGGAGGATTCTTTCAGTGAAAGTTGTGATGAGAACAGCTGAAGCCAGCACTGACCGTAAGGGTCTGCATGACCCAGATGAGTTGGAAGAGAGTGGATTGTTTTCCCTCTGCGGGCCTGCAAGCTTGTGCGTGTGCATGTGTGCGTGCGTGTGTGTAGGAGCATAGTTTCCTTTTTGAGTGAGTTTGGGAAATGCTGGTAACCATAAGCCCGCCTCAGTTTTCCCATGGGAGAGTGACTACCCTTGGGGACGTATACCCGCTATGGAGTGGAATATCTATGAATATCTATGGATAGAAGTATGCTGCTATAGAAGCTCATCCTTTTAGCTCTCTATGCAAGCATTTGTTGTGAAAAAAAAAGTTTTTTGGTGGAATTTGGAGAGGATGTTCCCGAGGGAAACAGATCTCCCAAGCGGCTGTACTTTGGAAGCAGTCGGCTAACGGAGCAATGGCTGGCCACCAGGCTCTGTCCTGCAATTCGATCACGTGGGCAGCACTTCTAGGCCTCCCTACCCTATGACCTTCTCTACCGAGTCGAGAGTGAGCCCGGGATATGATGTGATGCAGGGGAGAGACATGGGCTTCCAGCATCAGGAAATCTTCCTTTGAATCTAAGCTACCCCTGCGACCGGGAGTGAGTAATTACAGTCCTTGGAGACACTCAGCATCTTCATGTAAAATGGAGTTGGAACTGCTCACTTTCCAGAAGTGCTGGAGTGTTTAAGCGAAATAATACACTTGGAGTGCCCAGAAACAAAACAAGTCTTCCTGTGTGTTTTAGGTCCCTCTCTTTACCCTCCCCCAGCCTCTGGCCATTTTTTTTTTTCCGGAAGTATAGTTGATGTACAATGTTGTGTTAGTTTCTGGCATAGCATAGTGAATCAGTTATACATGTATATATTTTCTTTTTCATTGTAGACTATTACAAGGTATTGAATACAGTTCCCTGTGCTATACAGTAGGACCTTGTTGTTTATCTATTTTATATACAGTAGTATGTATCTGCTAATCCTAAACTCCTAATTTATCCCTCCCCCACCTTCCCCTTTGGTAATCAGAAGTTTGTTTTCTATGTCTGTGATGTTTCTGTTTTGTAAATAAGTTCATTTGTATGATTTTTTAAACTCCACATAGAAGTGATACCATATAATATTTGACCACCCCGCTTTGCAACCTCCCACCATGAAATCTGTGCTCTGACCTCCAGGGGGCTCCATCCCAGGAGGGAGGTGCGACCTGGACTACTCAGTTACCTGTTTAAGGAACACAGCCTCAACCTATCCAGTGGTTACAATTTCAGAAATATTTATCAAGCACGAATTGTGTTCTAGCACCGTAGGGTTTATAGAGATAAAGCAGATATCCTGGACCTCTAGGGGACAGGAATACAGTGGCAGGGCAGCCACAAACTCCCAATAAACCAGCAATCCAATGACCCTATTACACTAGTGATGTAATGAAATCTCAGATGGAACACATGTGAGACACCCTATTAATACAGCCTGTTTTCTTTCATGAAAGCGAGCACGAAAGGACTTTTGCCTCACGTAAACAAAGACTTTCAGTTAAACAAATGTAAAGAAAGGCGTTTCAGTTGAAAGGATCTGTGCCAGCTTCTGCTTCCCCTGTTTGCCAGCAGTGCTTTGCACCTGTCTCCTCCTTCTCTCTTTTCCCTCCCTATCCTAGCTCCTGCCCAGGAAGAGGAATCTGATTGGATGATTCAGATGTAGAGCCACTGGGCTGGGCCACATTTCCTGGGGACAGGGACACTGTGTTAAGAAGTCAGGCATCTGCACAGTGCCGCTTTTTCCTTGCTGCTCTAGCTTTAAGAGGGTGGGTAGGGAGTGTGTTTCCCCCAAAAAGATGAGCAATCTGACAGTGTTTGAATCAATCTACACCGACGCCCCAGCTCCATGATAAGTATTGCTTAAGCTGGTTTGCACTGAATTTATGCAATGATGGTGACTTTGGGGCCCAGGGTGTATCCAAGAGCCTGTCACACCGCTGTGACTTGTTTGCCATGGAGAACACAGAGGATGGAGGTGCGTGTCACACACAGCTGGACTCATGGTTGGCACTGAGTATTGGATCAGTGCCATGTGCAAGGCAAAAATTCTTCAACCCTTCTTTGTTTTTTCTGTTCTGTGAGGGCACCAAGATGACAAATAATTACTTCCTTGTCCAAGAGACACTTGACAGTGTTTGCCTTCCAGATCCTCTCCAGGATTGGGCATCGTTGGTCCTTTCTCATATATCCAAACGCCTTCTCCCCTAGGACTTCCCCAAAGCTCTTCGAAAACAGCAGGTACGAAACCTAACTCACACGTCCTCCCGCTGTTTCCCTACAAACCTACTCCTTTCTCTGAGAGCTCCTGCTGAGTTATTGGGAAGGCATCCCCCACGTTTCTGGCGTGGGAGATGGCCCACCACCTGCACCCCTGCATTCTCCCACCCCCAGCCTGGCACCACGCCTTCTCCGTTCTCCTCCTAAACACCTCTTGAGCCTACCCCCTAATCTGCTCGTAATGCCTCTTCCTTATTTCAAGTCCCACCTTGGTTTTTTCCTGGTTTATTACAAGTGTCTCTTGAACGATCTCCCTCCTCCTAGTCTTTCCCTGCCCCAATCCATGTTGTCATTGAAGGGATAGTTCTAAATCAAAGCAGGATCTTTCTGCTTCCTGCCTACAACCTTCTTTGGCTCCCTAGTACCGAAGGATAATGTCCACACTCCAAGTTTGACAGAAAGCCCTGTGTAGTTCAGTCCCATTTACTCCTACTTTATTCCCTGCTTGTCTTCCCCATTCATTCTCTGTGTGCTAGCAATAACAAAGGGTCTTTAAAAACACTACAGTTTCTCTTTC